GGGCCAGGTTTGAACCCGCCACCTCCGGTATGTGGGGCCGGTGCCCTACTCCTTTGAGCCATAGGCACCACCCCATTTATCATTTTTTATTTCAAATTAATACAAGGTTACAAATTTTTAGATTATATTGGTCTCATTTCCAAGGTAAAATTCCAGCTGTGGAAGAACCCCTCACCCAGGGATTGTGTATCCATTCATTTATTAATTTGTTTGTTTAATAATGCATCCACTTGTTAATTAGTTCATTCAACACTTTTTTTCTTTTGGCAGTTTTTGGCCGGGGCTGGGTTTGAACCCGCCACCTCCGGCAAATGGGGCCAGTGCCCTACTCCTTTGAGCCACTGGCACTGCCCTATTCAACATTTTTTTATTCTATCCACCATTGGTTCATTTGTTCACTTGTTCATTCATTGGTTCATTTGTATACTTTCCTATTCATTCAAATGCCTCTGTTCATTTGTTCATTCATTCATTCAATAAGCCCTCCCAATAGGTTGCTCTGTGGCAGGCTTGATGCCAGCTCCTGGGGACACTACAGGGCAGTGGAGCAAGCTAATTTCCTCTTGGAGAGGCTAACTCTCTAGCAGGAATACCTCCACAGCAAGGGGACAAACCAACACGCAATGCCTGGTGATGAGCACTGCTTTAGAAAAGGTCTCACTGAGGGCTGGTGCTTGAACAGAAACCCAAGTTGAGGGAAGGAGCCTTGCAGCTAGCTACCTGGGAAAGAACATTCTAGGTCAGCGGTTCTCAACCTATGGGTTGCAACCCCTTTGGGGGTTGAACAACCCTTTCACAGGGGTCTCCTAAATACATCCTGTATATCAGATATTTACATTATGATTCATAACAGTAGCAAAATTACAGTTATGAAGTAGCATCGAAAATAATTTTATGGTTGGGGGTCACCACCACATGAGGAACTGTATTAAAGGGTCACAGCATTAGGAAGTTGAGAAGGACTGTTCTAGGTGGAAGGAACAGAGATGGGCATGTCCCTGGGGTGTGTGAGGGTCACTGAGGAGGAGGCTGTGTGGCCTAAGCCGAGTGAGTGAGGGGGAGAGTGAGGTGGAGAGTGCAGGTGACAGCGAGGAAGGGATCAACATAGCATGTAAGGACTTGTAATCCAGGGAAGGATGTGGGTTTTTACTGAGGAAGGTGGGAGCTATGGAGGGTTCTGAGCAGAGGAACATACCCTGATTGCCAAAGCAGGACAGTTTCCATGAGAGTACTGTCAGGAACTGCCAACAGGGTATAAGCTTCTCTCCTGGTTCAGATTCCTTTGTAACCCCCCTTTCCTGTGGCCACCCCATATGATCCTGAGACATCATTGAGCTGCCCTTACCTGTAGATTGGAGTTGTATAGTAATTGCCAACCTTCTTCTTTTCCGCGTTGTAACGAACACCTGGTAGGGAAAGGAGAATGCAGAGGCTCAGCCCACTCCCAGGATCTTTTCTCCGGACAGGGGACAGGTGTGGGTGGCATTTCATTACCACTGGAAGTTTACCAATGGGTAAAGTGAGGCACACAAAGGCTCAGTGTCAGCTAGAAAGAGGGCAGAAATGGGATTTGAATCCAGAGCCCAACTTTTGTTTCTTTTTTGAGACAGAGTCTCATTCTGTTGCCCCGGGTAGAGTGCTGTGGTGTTATCACAGCACATAGCAACCTCAAGTTCTTGGGGTTAAGCAATCTTCTTGCTTCAGCCTCCTGAGTAGCTAGGACTACTGGTGGATGCCACTATGCCCTGCTAGTTTTTTTATTTTTAGTAGAGATGGGACCTTGCTCTTGCACAGGCTGGTCTTGAACTCCTGAGCTCAAGCAATCCACTTACCTTGGCTTTTCAGAGTGCTAGGATTAAAGGCATGAGCCACCGCACCCGGCTCTCAGAGCCTAACTTTCTAACTGCTCTGCAAAGAAACTTTGCACATAGTCACTTGGGTGCCTGTTTCCTCCCTGACTCCTGATCTGGAACCCCCAGGGTGGAAATGATATTTCATGGTGTCCAGTAATTAAGGAACCTGATGTTTGCAGGACTGAATGGGTGGGGGCGGGCAGAAGCTCACCCATGCCGATGTGGTTCTTGCAGCCATCGCACCAGATGTTATATGGCATCTCAAATCTACAAAGACAGACAAGATCTCATTTGCACTTGTGTACTTGGGCTCTCTTGATGTCCCACATTGTGGCTGTAGTTGTAATCTGACGGGTTGGGCAACCAACTGCTCCTCTTCATAGGAGTTGCTGCAGTCACATTGCCAAGGGCGAAGACACAAGAGGATGAAGAATCATGGTTGCTCCTTCAACGAACAGGTCCTCTCCCTGTCACACTCTCTAGCCAACTGACTTTGAGTCGGGAAGTGTCCTTAGGGAGCCATTGTATCTTTAACCCCTTATGGCATCAGCTAAACCAGCTTCTGAACAGAAAAGGAAATAGACTCAGGGAGCTAGCCCCTGACAGTGTTGTCTGATTAGAGTTAAGAAAAGTACTGTGTTTCCCCGAAAATAAGACACTGTCTTATATTTATTTTTTCTCAAGAAGATACACTAGGGCTTATTTTCAGGGGATGTCTTATTTTTATTAAGGATAATACAACAATCTACATTTATTCAAATACAGTTAAGTCATCTTCTTCTGGAACCCGACAGGGGGAGTCGACCTTGTTGCTAGTGATGTGTGAACTCCTTTCCCCTAGTGGTTTGCGCTATAGGATGGCTGCGACCTCCATTACCACCCGCCCACTCATGCAAGTGCAAATGGCTTGGAGAAAGGAGCTGTGGTAGATAAAAGGCATTCCAGTCTTCCTTAGGGCTCTGCGCCAAAATGCATGGTGTGGCATAGCCACGCCCATCACTAGGTCTTATTATCAGGGTAGGGCTTATATTTAACAAATGCATAGAAATCCTGCTAGGGCTAATTTTTTGGGTAGGTCTTATTTTCAGGGAAACACAGTAGTTGTGTTGGGTGTGGTGGCTCACACCTGTAATCCTAGCACCCTGGGAGGCTGAGGCAGATGGACTGCCTGAGCTTATGGGTTTGAGACTAGCCAGAACAAGAGCGAGACCCTAACTCTAAAAAAAATTGCCAAGTGTTGTGACAGGTGCCTGTAGTCTCAGCTATATGGGAGGCTAAGGCAAGAGATTGAGTCAAAGAGTTTGAGATTGCTGTGAGCTAAAAAAGAAAAGTAGTTGTATTGTCATTGTTGTTTTAATTTTTTTTAGAGGCAGAGTCTCACTTTGTCATCCTTGGTAGAGTGCTGTGGCGTCGCTGCTCACAGCAACCTCCAGCTCTTGGGCTTAGGTGATTCTCTTGCCTAAGCCTCTCGAGTAGCTGGGACCACAGGCGCCCACCACAACACCTGCCTATTTTTTGTTGCAGTTTGGCTGGGGGTGAGTTTGACCTGCCACCCTCAGTATATGGGGCTGGTGCCCTACTCACTAAGCCACAGGTGCCATCCTGTTGTTTTAATTTAATCTTTTTTAGAGACAGGGTTTTACTCTTTTGCTCAGGCTGGTCTCAAACTCCTAGCCTCAAGTGACCCTTCTGCCTTGGTCTTCCAAAGTGCTGGGGTTACAGGTCTGAGCCACCATGCCCAGCCAGTCTCTGTATTTCTTTTTCATAGTTCCATTTATGACATGCAGTCTTGGTTTTCCACATACATCAAGAGAGCCAAAGTGACAAAGCTTTCCTTTTAAACTAAAACCATTCAGTAGCCCATGAGTTGAATTGAAGTCACTGTGTAGATGGAGATGAGGGATTGGCAAACAGAGAGACTGGAAGTTGTACGGGCAAGAGAAAGGCAGGCAAGTCTGGTCCATGCTGGAGTGTGAAGATAAGGTGGGCTGAGGTGTCCTTCAGCCCTGTAGCTCTTCAGGCCACTGCTGGGAATAGGCATCATGAATTTTCTTCTATATACATTTCTGCCTCTGACAGTCTTGTCACCTGAACCTCTGCTCAGGTCCAGGGCAGATCCCAGCAACTGAGATCACAGCACACAAGGACATTTGCACTAGAATGCAGCTCAATTCACAAGTGCCAAGACATGGAAGCAACCCAAGTGCTCTTCAACCCATAAATGGATTAACAAACTGTGGTATATGTATACCATGGAGTAGTATTCAGCCATAAAAACAAGATGGAGACTTTACATCTTTTGTGATAGATGGAATTGAAAAACATCACAAGAATGGGGAAACAAGTATCCAATGTAATCAATACGAATATGAAACCAGTATATAAACAACTAAATACCAACATGAAAGAGAAACACAGGCAGGCTCAGCACCCGTGGCTCTGAGTAGGGCGCTGGCCACATACACCAAAGCTCGTGGTTTGAGCCTGGCCCAGGCCAGCTAAACATCAATGACAACTACAACAGAAATAGCCAGGTATTGTGGCACTTGTGTACTGTGAGCTCAAGTTGGCTTCTGCTTCCTCCCACAGATAATCTATTGGGGTGCCGGCCAGAGATAAGAGGAGAACCCGGAAGGGCCGCTGCCTGAGCTGGGTTCATTGCAGTAATGGCTGATGCTTTATCCTCCCCACATCTGTGCTCTTTGTCACGTAACTCTGCAGCTCTTCCCATCAAGAGACGGAGTCTGTTGTTCTATCCCTAGAATCCTAAGCCTCATAGGCAGTCAGTGAGACAGAAGAGATGGTGTGCCATTCCTGGTCTTGGCCTTAAAAGGCCTTGCATGCTTCTGCTTTGGAACCCTGATACTGCTATGTGACCAGGCCAAGGCTAGCCTACTGAAGGATGAGACACACACCATGGAGCACAGGCAGTTGTACAGGTCAAGGGTCTGCTAGAACAGCCACGCTCCAACTTCTGGACATTCGAATGAGCCCAGCTCAGATCAGATCAGCTCGGATCAGCTCAGCCCAGCCCAGCCCAACCCTTCTAAGCCCAGGAGAGGCACCCAGTTGAGCCAAAGACTTGTGAGCAATAACCAATACTTATTGTTTTGTTACACAGCAATAGGTGGTATGCTGACTTTCTGCTGTATGGAATTAAGACCCTGCAGTACTGGGCCAGTTGGGGATGCTGAAAGAGACAGATGTAAGGTGGCACCAAAGGCATGGATCCTCGGGTGATAGTAGGGTCTTACCGAATGATGAGGATGCCTTGTGATAGCTTCCGAGCTCGCTCCCGAAGAGGGTGACTATTGTGGTACCGGTTGAGGGAGCCATGCTGTGTAGAATAGACAAGGGAATAGATTAGCACTTGCTGAGCCAGTCCCACAGCTTTGGGACAAGTACCTCTAACGTTGGGCTAGGCCTTGTTCTTATGTCCTATAGGGTGGTTGTACACAGCAATATAGGAGGCACAGAAGACTCAGTGAAGTATGTGGGCCTGGAATCAGGAACATGTGAATTTGAGCGGCCCCTCTTCCGTTTATGAACTGAAAGAGCCATGTGACCCTGGGAAAGTTATCTCATTTTTTGCCTTCCCAAGCCACAGTTTCCACAATCTGTCAACCGGGGATAATGATCATCATTATCTCTGGGTTTTGTGGGGAGGATTATGTGAGATGACAATACTGGCAAACACTTACTGGGTACTTTATGTGAGTCACCACATTTTAATCGCCCAATGATTCTGTGAAGTAGGGTCATTTTATTTCCCACTTCTGACACAAGGGGAAGCTTCAGCATAGACAGGCTGCGTCCTTTGCTGAAGACCATGCAGATGGGACACTCAGGCACCCTTAGTGAGTGCCTACTATGTGGGGACACACAGCCACGAACAAGACAAGACAACTACCTCTGCCTCGGTGGAGTAGACATTCTAGTGGGGGAGATGGACATTACACAAACACATGAATGGTATGTCAGGGAGTTATAAAAGCTTTGAAGATAAATAAAGCACTCAGTGATGTGACAGAGAATAAGACGGTGGTCAGGGAGAACCTTGTGAGAAACAACCTAAAGGAAGTGAAAAAGTATGGTCAAAAGGAGGAAGAGGTTCCAAGCAGAGGGGACAACCAGCATGCCAGAGGAACTGGAGCTGGGGGAGCCAGGAGATCTGATCCCAATCCTGTGTTCTCAGCCTTGTCCTCGGCTCTGCAGTGTTGCTCTATAGTGTTGCAATTTGGCCTAGGCCGGACTATAAACACACTACGCCCAGTGCTGGACACAGAATGCTGGACACAGAGGCAGATTTATTACCCAGGAGTGAAAACAACTCTGAGGTTCAGGTGACAAGTGGAAGGCAGAAAGATCGCAGGGCTGCCTATCCTTCCGCCACTAAGGCTCTGACTCCAAGAGGGGTCTCTTTGCTATTGTGGCTTGAAGAAGGGAGCCTGCTCCTTACCTTTTCAGGGTTGAAATCTGGAGGGTAGTATTTATTCACACCTTTCCTTTCACCCTGGAAAGCAAAATAGAGATGTGACTCACAGAGGGCCCTCTAGGAGACCTACCTGTGCAGCCCCAGGGGGCAGGGCCCGAACGAGAGAGACTCGGGGTCATCTTAGATGATAGTGCTGGGATCAATATCTGACTGGGGACTGGCTATTTGGGTGAAACCTACTGTCACACTGAAAAATTCCATGAGGTTCAGACTCTTCTATGGTGGTGGGTTTCACACTTTTGGGGGAAGGTGACTGAAAGTAAAGCTAAAGCACAGGTCTCTTCAAAGCACATGGATCCTGGCTATGAGAGTTGTTCTTTTTAAATGCTTGCTAAATTGACTTTAAGAACCGAGTGCTTGTCAAACTCGGCTACAACCACGCAAATAAATCCTAGTATACAATGTTCACAGCAGTGTGATTCAAAAAAGCCCCAAGGTAGAAATGACCCAAAGTCCACTAACAGAAGATTATACCAACAAATTGTGGTCTGTCCCTCTAGTGCAGTGGTTCTTAACCTTCCTGATGCCAGGAACCTTTAATACAGTCCAAAGGGGTCGTGACCCACAGTTGAGAACCACTGCTCTAGTGGAATATTATTCAGCCATAAAAAGGAATAAAGCATCAACTGGTGACACAACATGGATGAAAACGTGATGCTCACTCAGTGAAAGAAGCTAGACTCCAAAGGGCTACTTAGTACGCTATTCTACTTATATGAAATGTTTACAATGGGCAAATCTATAGAGACAGAAAGCAAGATGAGTGGTTGTTAGGGGCTGAGAAGGGGGGAAATGGAATGACTGCTAATGGGGACAGGACTTCCTTTTAGGGGGATGAAAATATTTTGGAATTGGACAGAAGTGGTGGTTGGACAACACTATAAATGTATTAAATGCTACAGAATTGTATGTGCTAAAATGGTTAATTTTTAATCATTATTTTTTTCTTTTTAGAGGCATAGAGTCTCACTTTATCACCCGTAGTAGAGTGCTACGGTGTCATAGCTCACAGCAACCTCCAGCTCTTGGGCTCAGGCGATTCTCTCACCTCAGCCTCCTGAATAGCTGGGACTACAGTCACCCGGCACAATGCCCAACTATTTTTTTGTTGCAGTTTGGCTGGGGCCGGGTTTGAACCCACCACCCTCGGTATATGGGGCCGGTGCCCTACGCACTGAGCCACAGGCGCTGCCCTATTTTTAATTTTTTTTTTTTAGAGATGGGGTCTTGCTCTGTCATTCAGGCTGGAGTGCAGTGGTATGATCATAGCTTACTGGAACCTCAAACTCCTGGGCTTGAGCAATTCTCAGGCTTCAACCTCCTGAGTAGCTGGGACCACAGACATGTACCACCAATATTTTGTAGAGACAGGGTTTTGGTGGTCTCAATCCCTGGCCTCCAGAGACCCTCCTGCCTCAGCCTCCCAAAGTGCAGAGATTACAGGTGTGAGCCACCATGCCTGGCCTAAAATAGTTAACTTACTTTCTTTTTTTTTGGCTGGGGCTGGGTTTGAACCTGCCATCTCCATTATATGGGGCTGACACCTTACTCCTTTGAGCCACAGGTGCCACCCTAAGAAAGTTAACTTAATGCTATGTGAATTTCACCTCATTTAAAAAAAAAATGGCTTGGAGCCTGTGGCTCAAGTGGCTAAGGTGCCAGCCACGTACACCTAAGGTGGAGGGTTTGAATCCAGCCCGGGCCCACCAAACAACAATGATGGCTGCAACCAAAAAAAAGAGCCAGGTGTTATGGCAGGTGCCTGTGGTCCCAGCTACTTGGGAGGCAGAAGCAGGAGACTTGCTTGAGCCCAGGAGTTGGAGGTTGCTGTGAGTTGTGAAGCCACAGCACTCTACCCAGGGGGACAACTTAAGGCTCTGTCTCAAAAAATAAAAAAATAAAAGAAAGAAAGAAAAGGAAAAAAAGCTTCCCTGCGTTATTTCAGGGCAAAGTAAAGTTTTAGAACCAATGTACCAAAAGATCATGATCCAAAGTTTGGCAGGACCAAATGAGAGCTCCAGGAGGGGAGGCGGGAACTCTAGGAGGGGGAAGACGGTGGCTACTCCTGAGGCCCAATGGAAACCAGGAGAGAAACCCAAAGTGCACAAGTCTGTCTACTCACCATCTTGGGGGATGCCTACTGGTCCTCACCCTCAGGGAAGCTGATCTGAAATTGGCCTCTGAATCCAATGCCCAGCCCTGTCCTCCTATGAGCCTGGCAGAGGGTTCACGGGCTTTCCTGCGAAGATGTCGTGGATTATGCAGTGGTGTCAGCTCAGACAAGACTCTGTTCAGGCGCAGACAGGAATCTGAAGAACTGTGTATGTCTGTTTAGAGAAAGTGTCCTGTCCACTGTATAGCCAACATCTATGTCACATCACTTTTTCTCCTTTCATGGCCCTGACCGTCAGGTCCAGGCTCCATCAATGCTAATATGGTCTCCCACCCAAAGTCTCTTGACTTTGCCCTTGACTCATGCTCAACTGATAGCAGCCAGAAAGATCTCCTAAAATTTGAACTGAAGTGTTTGTTACTCTCCTTAAATTCCCTGCTCCTGAGATTCCTGCCATTTGTATTTTTTTTAAGTCTTTTTTTTTTTTTTTTTTAGAGACAGAGTCTCATTTTGTCCCTCGATAGAGCGCTGTGGTGTCACAGCTCATAGCAACCTCTAGCTCCTGGGCTTAGGCGATTCTCTTGCCTCAGCCTCCTGAGTAGCTAGGACTATAGGCGCCTGCCACAACGGCCAGCTATTTTTGTTGTTGCAGTTTGGCTGGAGCTGGGTTTGAACCCGCCACCCTCTGTATATGGGGCTGGTACCCTACTCACTGAGCCATAGGCTCCAGCCTCCATTTGTATTTTTTTATTTTTATTTACTTGAGACAGAGTCTCACCATGTTGCCCTGGGTAGAGTGCTGTGGTGTCACAGCTTACAGCAACCTCTAACTCTTGGACTTAAGTGATTCTCTTGCCTCAGCCTCCCAAGTAGCTGGGACTACAGGCATTCACCATAACGCCTGGCTATTTATTTTTTTTGGTTGTAGTTATCATTTGTTTGGCAGGCCTGGGTTGGGTTCAAACCCAATGGCTCCTGTGTATGTGGCTTGTGCCCTAGCTACAGGTGCTGAGCCATCTACCATTTTTAGAATCAATTCAAACTCCTTATTATGAACTGTGAGGCTCCTGCCTGCTTCTCTAAGCCCACCTCTTAGCCCTCTCCCTCTGATCAATCTGTTCTAGCCACATTGGCTTCTTGGTTTTCTTCAAAAGCCTTGGCTGCTTTTTCCACCAGCTGTCTGCTTTTTGTTACAGGTCTTGATTTACACATCACTTCCATCAGAAGCCTCATCTGATCACCTAACCTACAGTCACTTCTCTGGAGTTCCAATCACATAACCCTGTGTCTGTTTATCAGTTTTTCCAGGTAGGTCACACACTCTATGTTCTATTCCCAAAACCTAGCAGAGTGTGTGGCACCTGATAACTGCTGAGTGAACAACTGAAATAACAGAGGTTCCATAAGATCCAGTGCAGGCAACACAGGTATCAAATGCAATTTGATTTTTAAACTGGAGGTAGGGAGACCCTTCCCATGTTTGGAGGAGAAACTTGAAGGAGAAAAGTCTAAACTAGAAGGAAGTAGTTTACACTAAAGAGAAGCACTGTGAGGCACAGACGTGTATTTTAGAACGGGAATTAGCAAATTTATTTTATTTTATTTTCTGGGAATTAGCAAACTTTTAGACAAGGGCTAGATAGTAACTATTTGTGGCTTTTTGACCACATCACCTCTGCCTCAATAACTCAACTCTGTCCTCATAGCCAGAAAGCAGGCCCAGACATTATGTAAATGAACAGATATGACCCATTCCAATAAAATCTTATTTGAATTTCACATAACTGTCACCTGTCACAAAATATTATTCTGCTTTTGATTTTTCCCCAACCAATCAAAAATTTAAAGCCATTCTCAGCTTCAGCAAGCTGTACAAAATTGGGTGATAGGCTGGTTTTGGACTGCAGGCCTAGTTTACCAGTCCCTGCTCAAGAATCAGGAAGCTTAGTCCCTGAGTAGCTATCAACTTAACTATGCCCGCTCTATAACGTTTACTGGGTGTCAGGTGCTGCACTAGGAGTCTGACATCATTGCTTCATTTAGTCTGAATTGTGTTGCCATTATTTCCAGGTGACAAATGAGGACACTGGGGGCTTAAGTACTTTGTACAGCAGCCAGTGCTTCTGACAGAGTGGGGTGAGTCATGCAAACCCCTGGTTGTCAAATCCCCCATAACTCTGACCCTCTCTTTCATCTGTAAAGTACGCCCCTTGGCTTGGATTTTTCTTAGTTCCATTCCAATCTAAAAATACTTTTGTCAACAAAATAGCTAAGTACCCCCAACACTTTGGTGGTCATGATTCAGTGGGCTTAAATCCCAGCTTCCACTCCTCAGCTGGGTGACCTTGGTCAGTGTCTATGCTTCCCTGAGCTTCAATTTCCTCATCTGTAAAAAGCAAATGATAAGACTCACTTTCTGGGGTACCTATGAATGAAATAACATAGATGAAGTGCTTGCACAGGGTAAATACTAAGTTAAGAGGAGAATGTGTATGTGTACCTTAAGATGATTTTATTACCCAGTGAATGGCAGGGGGGACTATAGGGTGGATATATAGAAATCTCTGGTCCCAAAAAAGACCAAAAAAGGAAAAAAAAAAAAATAGAAACAAAACAACACAAAAAATCAATAATGAAAAACAAAAATCTCTGGTGCTTGGTGTCAAGACTAATTATTAACCTCATTTGTCCAGGGTTTGCAGCTTGGGTCTGGAACTCTGCTACTTCCTAGCTGCCTGACTTTGGGCAAATTGTTTAGTCTCTCCAAACCTCACTTTCTGCATCTGTAAAATGAAGTTTTATAGAAGTTACCAACCTGACACGGTTGTTGTCCAGACTCAGGTTTTGTTCCAAACACATAAAGTTAATGACACCAAGTTAAAAACGTTGGCAGTTTGGTTATTTCTCATGCCCACCGTTTTAAAGCATCATTTTACAAAATCTTCATAACCCGCTAAGGTAGGGTCTTATTGGTCCATTTCCAAGATGAGGAATCTCTGGGGCCCTTCAGTTATAACATGGGTCGGGATGGGTTGCGGCCGGGGCCCGGGCACTTGGGTCGGGGGTCGCTGGTGGGACCCGGGCCAGCACTGGGCACACAGCTCGCGTCCCTCAGAGCTCCGCGTCCCCCAGAGCATACATCCGCGCCGGGAGTGTCCAAGGTCAGGGTGAGGAGGCGGCCTGGTCTCCCAAACCTCGACCCTACCGGGCCTGCCCGCCCCTCCACAAACCCCTCTCCCCGCCAGTACTTACCTGCCCTCCTTCCGACGTCACGCCCAGACTACGCCCGGAAGTGCGCTGGGAGCTCAAGGAAGCCCGGCGCTCTCTCCGTGTGACTGGTTCGTCCACACGAGGCGGGGCGAGGCAGTAACGCCACACTGATTGGGTAAGTGCCGATAAGTGGCGGGCTCCAAGCTCTGGAGGGGACCAATCCCAGACCGCCCCCAACCGTGCTTGCGTCACGACGCCCCACCCTCTGCCCCGCCCACTCAGCGAGGCCTGCCTCTTGACATCGCTACCTCTTTGGACTGTCCTGCTTGCACTGCAGCAGTTCCGTGAGGACTGGCAAACGGCAGCAACTCGGCTGCCTGCTTTATAACGGGCAACGAACCCCTTCCTAGTCTTATTTGTTTTTGAGACAAAGTCTTGTTCTGTCGCCAGGGCTGGAGTGCAGTGGCGCCATCATAGCTCAGTGCTGCCTCAAACTCCTGGGCTCAAGTGATCCTCCTGGCTCAGCCTCCTGTGTGGCAGGGACTACAGAGGCCACCACCACTACTGACTCATTATTTTTATTTTTATTTTGTAGAGACGGGGTCTCTCAATGTTACCCAGGCTGATCTAGAACTCCTGGCCTCAAGCGATCCTCCCGTCTTAGCCTTTCAAAGTGTTGGGATTATAGGCATGAGCTACTGCGTTTGGCTTTATTTTTATTTGATTATTTTATTTATTTTGTTCATTTATGTTTTTACTTACTTAAAGACAAGATTCTACTCAATTGCAGTGGCGATCATAGTGGAAATCATAGTTTACCGAAGCTGGAATTCCTGGGCTGAAGTGACCTGGGACTACAGGCATGAGCCACTGTGCGCGTGGCTGTGGTTATCCATTTTTAAATGGTTGAAGGAAAAAAAGAGTATTTCATAACTTGTGAAAATGATAAAAAATTCAAATTTCAGTGGCCATAAGTTTTATAGGAAGATAGTAATATGTCCTTTCGTACACAGATTGTTTCAAACTGGGGCACTTATAGCAATGTAGGGAGAGGTTTTTTTGAACTTCTTTATTTGTCTAAAGGCATAAAGACAGGAAGAAAGACATATCCACTCCAACCATGACCAAACAATGTCCTATTCTGAGGGCTCCTCTGAGTCAACTTTAACTATCTAGGACATTTTTTGTTCACATCACAAGACAGCCTTTATTCACCATACAGTTTCTCCCTTTCCCTTCCCATAACTTTTGTTGCCACCACCCTCCCTGAAGCCTCAAACTCTGTTCTTTTCTTTAACCCGTTTTGGAGTCTCATATTTTGTGGGACTCCCCTGCACATATATTAACACATAATTAAATATGTTTTTTTCTTTTAATTTAATTCGTAGTCCAGCCACAGAAACTATAAAGATGGGAGGAAGCTTATTTTTTACCCCCCTACAACAGGCATGCTCATTAATTTACCTATCGTCTATAGTTGATGCAAGGGCAGAATTGAATGGTTGTAATAGACAGGGAAAGGGCCAGAAAGCCTAACATATTTACTATCTGGCTCTTTACAGAAGAAGTGGGCCCACCTAGCCTGTCCCAATAAGCTCACATTTGTAATCCCAGCACTTTGGGAGGCCAAGGAGGGAGGATCACTTGAGGCCAGGAGTTCAAGACTGGCCTGGGCAACATAACAAGACCCCCTCCCCCCATCTCTGCAAAAATTAGTTATGTGAAGTGGCACACACCTGTAGTCCCAGTTGCTTGGGATGTTGAAGCAGGAGGATTGCTTGACCACAGGAATTTGAGGTAGATAACTTGAGTAGGTTATCTATGATTGCCAGCTTAGGTGACAGAGTGAGGTACTGGTCTCTTAAAAAAACAAAGAAATGGAGAAATGGGCCAACTTTTGTCTTAGAGCTACCAGACCAGCCTGGCTGTGCTTGTGCTTCTGCATAGGGTAATGGCCTTTGAATTTACTTTTACGCCCTTTGGGCCTAATGGAATCTGCGTGTTCATTTGTTCATTCAGTAGCCATTCATTGGGCACCTGATATATGCCAGGCCTTGAGGATTCAGAGGGGAAAAAGAACACATATTTTTCTTAGTGATGAACCAGACATATCAACTGGCAATTTATCACGTTGGTATAAGAAGTGGTGAGAATACTACACTACTACTGCTCTGTTATTCAGTGCCAGGCTTCATCCCTGTTCTAAAGCCAGGCTTTACTGACAAGTGAATTCTC